TAAAGCAGACCTCTAGGACTGCCTTCTTTCATTTACGTAATATTACAAAAATTAGACACATCCTGTCACAGACAGATGCAGAAAAACTAATCCATGCATTTGTTACTTCTAGGCTTCTAGTGGGCGGCTGTGGCTCAGAGGCAGAGTGGGTCGTCCTCTAATCGGAAGGTTGTTGGATCGATCCCCGGCTCCTGCTGCCACATGTATCCTTGAGCAAGATACTGAACCCTGAAATGCTTCTGATGTGTGCATCGGTGTATGAATGTGTTAGTTTCTGTAAGATGGACTTGCCATTGCTGAGTGAATGTATGTGAAAGGGTGAATGTGGCATGTAGTGTAAAAGCACTTTGAGTAGTCAGAAGACTAGAAAGGTGCTATACAGGTCCATTTACTATTGCTGCAACTCCTTATTATCAGGCTGCCCCAATAAGTCCATTAAAACGCTCCAATTAATTCAGAACGCTGCAGCACGAGTACTGACAGGAACTAGAAAAAGAGATCACATCTCTCCTGTACTAGCTTCTCTGCACTGGCTCCCTGTAAAATGTAGAATAGAATTTAAAATCCTCCTCCTCACCTATAAAGCATTTCATGGTCAGGCCCCTTCATATCTTAAAGAGCTCATAGTACCCTATTACCCCACTAGAACACTACGTTCTCTGAATGCTGGGCTACTTGTGGTTCCTATAGTCTCTAAAAGTAGAACAGGAGCCAGAGCCTTCAGTTACCAAGCTCCTCTCCTGTGGAACCAGCTTCCAGTTGTGGTTCGGGAGGCAGACACCCTCACCACATTCAAGAGTAGGCTTAAGACATTCCTCTTTGATAAAGCTTATAGTTAGGGCTGGATCAGGTGAGTCCTGAACCATCCCTTAGTTATGCTGCTATAGGCCTAGACTATCGGGGGATTTCCCATGATGCTCCTCTCTCCCTCTCTCTCTCTCTTTCTGCACTCATTCATGTCCCATTAATGCATGCTACTAACTTCACTTCTTCCCCGGAGTTCTTGTGCTTTCTCGTCTCACAGGTTCTCATGGATCCTGGTGGAGCCTCCTGCCATGGTCCTGCTTACTATTGTCACTGCTCATTGTCCCCCATCGTTGCTGTTGGCGTCGTCATCATCTTCTTCTTCATGTTCATCATCATCAGTCACTACTATTAGTGAAGTTGTTGCTACTGTTGTTGCTGTGTGTCTGTCTGTCTGTCTGTCTGTCTGTCTCTCTCTCTCTCTCTCACCCCAACTGGTCGAGACAGACGACCACCCACCTAGAGCCGAAGGATCTGTCCTAGGTTTCTGCCTTTTAACAGGCAGTTTTTCCTTGTCCCCGTTGCCAAGGTCTTGCTCATGGTGGTACTGTTGGGTCTCTGTAAATAATGTTTTAAAGAGTTCGGTCTAGACCTGCTCTATTTGAAAAGTGTCCTGAGATAACTTCTGTTATGAATTGGCGCTATACATATAAAATTGAATTGACTTGAATTGAATTAATATAGGAGCACAGTAATGGAGTCACGGTGTCCTGAGAAGAGAATTATATCACACTCCCTCTGCCTGTGTTGCTATCGCAGCCTCTCTGTGGTTTGTTTACAACCAGTCTGCTCCATGTGCAGCTGAGTAGCGGTATTATGACTGTGGACATACTTTGACAAGCACCTTTGTCCCCACGGATCAATATTTGGCAGCCACTGTGACCCATTTTGTGTATCATTTTTTATCTACCTCATGAATTAAGGGTTTATTTTGACCAAACCAGTGTTATTGAGTGTTGGAAAGACTATCATATACGGTTTCAGTGAGTTTTGTTTTGTCATGTTTTACGATTAATCTGCTAGGTAAAATTACTGGTTTTGTAAATGGAGCTCTAGTGCGACATCTAGTGGCAAGTGATTTCTTTATATGACTTCTAAAGCCATCATGAGAACAAGACCCCATAAACTCATCAAATGAGCTGCAGTATTCAGTTTTGGCTATGTATGTGCAGGATGTCTATGTCTATTACAGACCACAGCTAGTGATATCAAGATGGTTGGAGTTAATTTAGAGAGGAGAAAAAGTGAATATTTTATTCCCCCTGCAATGTTAATCCCATTCAAATGTGGTTAAAGCACACCTATCTGCCTGTAGCAGCTAGAGTAACTGAGGTTTGCTGATCCAGAGAGCAAATATGATAAAAATGTCTGCTTTTCTGGAGAGGTGTTGATGCTGGGGAAACAGGACATTGGTGTGTCTGACGTGCCACAGCACCGTAGTGTGTGGGCTTACACAGGAAGAAAAGGGTGTGAATGTGTCACTCCTTTATTGCTTTTATTGCACCTACAAGCATTAAGCTCTATCATGACCATGCGCAAAAACTACATGTAGCTTCAGTTCGGCGCTTCCATTTTCGACCAAACTTGATCAGAAAGCCAGGAGTGATTGCTGTAAGGGTTAAACAGACAGAGCTGCTCTCCTTCTCTCCTCCCTCTCTAAAAGCTTCCAGCAGCCAGTAGCTCTGAGGGGATCAGAGCTTTCAGACCACTTGTTGCTAATAGAGGGATATTTACCCTAACGGGAACAGAGAGAGTGTAACCCCAGGTCACTGCACTCAGCAACAACACTGACACAAAGACACACAGACAGCCTGCTCTGCTTTTACAACAGGGACAGACAGATACACTGTAAAAAATGTCAGTCTGAAGCGGTCATGTAAGCCCTGTTCAGACAGGCAGCAGGTTCAGTACAGCTCAGAGGTTTTTTCAAAAGTATCAACATCAGTTTTAAGTCTGATTCCATTCCCGCCAATCTGCAATTCTCCATGTTTGCCCACAAAGCCAAAGCACCTGCACCATGCTGTGACATCACTGGTTGGGGTGTAGCTTCAATTATTTTTTTCACATCTACTTTGAATTGTCAAAATAATTCGATTGTGTTAAAGACTTGTTAAAAAAAAAAAAAAATTCAAAATAAATAGGCACCGTTAAAGGCAAATTATTTTACTGTGTTAAGATCTGCTGTGTAGGAACCAATGTTTTTGGGACACGGTTTTTTGCACATACACAGCCACCCTAGTTTCTTCTTCACGCTTGGAAGGGGGGGTGAAGCAAGGGAGATGCAATCTGCAAGTAGATGGCAGTAAAACCTACACAGGGCTAGGCCTAAAACCAAGGCCTAACAACGGTCCACACTTATGTAAGCATGCGTCACATTTAGTTTTACAGGAATAAAAAATTATTAAATCGATTTTGTCTTTTTTTTGGCATAAATTGTTAACTAGGGGTAGAATATGACCAGGGATGTGATTTAAAAGGGTTTCAATTCAGCTCAACTTAAGACATTTTTGGCTCTGTTGGCTCAATATTAGCTGTCATATTATGTGACAGGACTATTAGCCCTCCTGATTTGGTTGGCCTGTGCTTTTGGCTCCGTCTGTCTGTCCACGGTAACCAACGATAACTCCATGTTGTTCTAATTTGCGTATAAAGTCAAAAGAAGGAAACACAAGACATAAAAAGGCCATATTTAAATAAAATTTCCATTGAAACCTATTTGATTGGTTGGGTGATTGTCAGTTCATGCCCTTTTTTGTTTTCATGTTGGTTTTCATGGTTATCTGAAGAGGCTGCTGAATTATGACGGCCAATCATAACAATTTAAAGCCGATGAAAGGAAGCTATTAAAACAGAACCGGGGCCTGACCGGGCCTGGCAGGACTGGGTTCAGTTCTGGGGGGGAGGGGCAGTGAGGGCAACAACAACATGTTATGTGAAAAATAAAACGGATAAAAAACGGAACACTGATCGAGTTAAACGTCCTGTGTTGTCAGCTAAGCTCCGGCTTTGGGAAAACACCAGCAAATTAGCCGGAAAAACACTTCGGCTGTGTTTGTTGTCATTCCGGAGCCAGTTATGCCTGGCGCTGCTTCGCTGTAACCCCACCACGGTGACACCTATCTCGACATTGAACAAATACAGTGAGGTCCTGACCCCTCCGTGTTTGGATTCCCAGGCTGTGAGCCCAGACAGCCGCGCAGCGCTGCGACGCACGTATCAACACAAACCCCAATACAGGAATGCAGCCGCGGCCCGTATGACTGGGCCACGGACCTCACCGTGACCCACTGTGTGTGTTCATGTTCACTCATCAACATCATCATTTCTGTTACACAATTACAGTCTTGTTTGTAGTGACAGTTTTTTTTTTTTTTTATGTTTTATCTTATCTCTATAGTGTATATTTAATGTTTCTGTATAGCCTAGATTTTCTAAGTCTTATTATGAATGTGTGTGTTTGAGTGTGTATGTATCTGGAAACCATCCTTTGCTCATTTCCCCAAACCCTTTAATTGTGTGTTATCTCTTTCGGTGAGTGTATGTCTGTGTATGTGCACAGAGTAAAGTGCAGGATAAGAAGCAGATCTTGATTGTTTGTTTTTGTTCTTCAGAACATAGCTGATTGCTACCACCAAACTCTTATTTTAACTTTTAATATTTTTTTTCATTGAGGTGTAAAAACATGAACCCTCACTTCAAGACGAAGCAAGTATTACATTTTGAGAAAAAAGGACAGAATAAAACACAACAAAAATATACTACTGAAATGTTGTTCCTCTGACACTGGCCATGCATCAACACTGAAAAAATGCTTCCTTCCCCCTTTTATGGTAAAAAAACTATTTTGTTTAAGTGGATAGAACATAATTAATTGTTGTGATTGCCACATTACAACTTCCTAGAGGGTCTGCTCTAGAAAAACTAACAGGCTGTAATTAAAAGGTGCTTTCTTTAAATAAAATCAGTTTCAGTGTATATATAAAATGTACACAAAAATTAAATATTTTGGAGTGAAAAGATTGGTTGATTGGTGACATTCATACTTGGTGGTAACAGCAAGTATTATATATATATATATATATATATATGTGTCATTTCCAGCAGAAGTGCAGGACCGGCCCCAACGTGACAAAAGATTCAGCTAATTCAACTGAACTGCAAGCTGTGTTTACACAAATCCAATTCAATTCAAATAGTTCAATACAAAGGGTCTTTATTGGCATGGTAAACAGACGTTTATATTGTACAAGTAAATGTAAAATATATTTATATACAGATTAGTAAGAAAAATCTCAAATTTTAAAAATATACTCACATATTTTTATATACTTATGACATATTTGAATTTGAACATCTGAAAACAAATTATATAGCCCTATAAATATTTACTTTCATAATAATAATACTAATGTACTGGTGTGGGATACAAATCATTATGGAAAAGAAATCAACATTCAATTGTACATTATTCAATTACAAACTATAAACTATTTACAATTTTATTTACATGGAGAAAATGCCCGCAGCTTTATGTATTAATTATATACATAATTATCATACTAACTGATAAACAAGCAATAACTGTTTACTATTTCAAACCTCTAGCTGTGGTTTTATTTATTTATTTATTGTACTTGAAGAACTGATGGATGTCCAAGTTGGTGGGGGTGCGCCAATGCCACAGCACTTTAATGTGATTAGCCTGCAAGCCCCGAAGCCACGCTGTCCATTTAGGAGAGAGTGAGAGGGCAGAGGAGAGAGAGAAGGGGACGTGTGCAAGGTAACACTTGGCAAGGTCAGGTCGTGTTCTGAACTGAGCTGAATTTGACTCAACTTTTTTACAATGACAAGCACTAAGCCATTGTAAAAAGGTTAGTAAACACTATTCTGTATCTATTCTGCCTTTAGCTGGTCGTTTTCTGCCTTCACTTGCTGGTTTTTGTCCTTCACCTGTTGGTTTTCGCTCTTCACCTTCTGGTAGGGGTGCACGATAATTATCGGGCCGATAGTTATCGGGCCGTTAACAGGAAATTATTACGTCATTCCAATAAGTCCGATATCATGACGAATAGCCCCGATAACATACATAATTTTGTCAGCACGGCAGTGCCCCGCTCTCACTATGAGACCTGAATGGCCTGCACTGAATGCTGCGTTCAAGTGACGTTGGCATAATCAGAAAAACTCATTCTGACTGGGAAAATTCAAGAATACCCCCTCATGTCGGAAAAAAACTTGTTAACTCGGTCATAATTTTGGTAGTTGCTGACTTGAATTGATATCCACAGTATATTTCCACATGTTACACATAAACAATAGCAACATGAACAAAAGGTCGAAATAACAACTAGCAAACGTGGGAACAGGGAATTTCCGTCACACCGTAAATGCAGCACGGCGTGCTTACATTTGAAAACAGACAACATGGCGTCAATTGTGTGAGACTTTTTCAAAGTTTCTGAAGAAGACAGGTCGCTTGTTATTTGTAACAAATGTTCCAAGCAAGTTCCACGAGGAGGTAAAAGTAGCACAAGCTTCAATACGTCAAACCTGATAAGTCACCTGAAACATAGCCATCAGTCTCTCTCTCTCTCTCTCTCTTAGTGAAAAGGTATTCATTTGAATGGAACCATAAGCCAAAATCAGTTAAACTTAATTTTTTGTTACTATGGAATGCACTTTTTCAGTGTAACTTGTGTCAGTGCATTATTCACATTTTATTTATTGTTATTGAGGAATGCACTTTTTCAGATTGTGTTTACGTAAAAATGTTTGAATCTAATTTGTGTCAGTGCATCAATTTTCTATACTTTTTTTTTTTTTAACTTCTGGAATGCACTTTTTCAGTTTGTAATCCCAATGCATGTATTTGCATCAGTTCAAGGGGCCTTTATGTTTCTTTGAGAGGCTTGTCAATAGTTTTTCATTGGAAAAAATAAATATCTCCATTTAAAGAGTTAAAAGTGTTTTTGGGTTTGTTAATAGTATTAATGTCATGATCTTAGGTCACGATCATATGTATATGTGTGTGTGGTATCGGTATTGGCCTTTAGGAGCTGGAAGTTATCAGTTGTCGGTATCGGTTTTAAAGAAAAGTTATCGTGCATCTTCTGGTTTTCGTCCTTCACTCGTTGGTTTTCATCCTTCAGTTGCTGGTTTTCTGCCTTCACCTTCTGGTTTTCAGCTTTCACCTTCTGGTTTTCGTCCTTCACCTGTTGGTTTTCATCCTTCAGTTGCTGGTTTTCTGCCTTCACCTTCTGGTTTTCGTCCTTCACCTGTTGGTTTTCCTCCTTCAGTTGCTGGTTTTCTGCCTTCACCTTCTGGTTTTCGTCCTTCACCTGTTGGTTTTCCTCCTTCAGTTGCTGGTTTTCTGTCTTCACCTGCTGGTTTTCTTCTCTCAGTTGTGTGATTTTTCCCTTTAAGACAGCATTGGCTTGTGCCAGTTCTTCTATCTGGATGTCTTGAGTGCTCTGGTCACTCTTCAAGTTATTATTGGCTAAGGCGAGGTTGTCGATGACATTTTTGCACTGTTGGACAGCTTCTTCTGAACCTTCCATCTGATCACTGAGCATGGTGGAAATGACAGAGGTAACTAGAATGTAAAGAACAAGTAGGTGTTTGTAAGAATTTGTGAACAGCACATATCATACATATAAGCAATTCAAAATGCTTTGCACAACCATCAAAGAATTAGAACGGTTGTTTGTAATACATGCTAACATTTAACAATTCCTTGACAGGCTACTACTCTAAGGCATCTGAAAGTAGAACAGGTAATCTCAAAGTGTGAACAACGATTAGAAGCCATGATAAACAATCATGTATGTTTCTTAGAGAAATAGTTAAGTGTTTTGGGAAATACGCATATTTGCTTTCTAATTGAGAGTGAGATGTTCGATGGATATCAAATCACATATCTGTGTGTTACAGAGCTTTATTCAAGATCTGGTTAGCTTAGACTGGAAGCACTGTGAAACCATGACCACAACTCGGTCTCCCTACTAAATCATTGAATACTGCGACTTGGTCATAAGATGCTGTAGGTACCCTTCTAGCGCCATTGCCTGCTGTAAAAGTTTCGTGAGGTAGCATAAAGAGAGAGTCCTCATATAGAGTCTGGACTGTGTTTACTGACAACCTGTTTTCAGTCAAGGCTTTCACTCTCAGCCTGGCTGTGGCATGTTAAAGCTCCAGTGTGTAACATTTAGGAGGATCTATTGTCAGAAATGGAATATAGTATTCATTAGGTGTATAATATAATCACCTGTAAATGAGAATCGCTGTATTGTGTAATAATAATAATCACTATTGACCAAAATAATTGTGATTAGAATTTTTGCCATATTCGAGCAGCCATACACTAAATAAATTTGCGTATTTGGCATATTTAGCATACATGCTTGTAAAATCAAGTGGCCATTTGGTTTCTACTCACAGTGGATACGGAGAGCCATGATTATCAACAGTATCCCCCAACACACTGCAACTGGTATCAAAGACTGAATACTGGGGGGAATTTTCTTTTCTGACAAAAAAGAAAAATTAATTTGTATCATCACAATAATACAGTTTAACTGTCAAATGTGCTTTTGTAGATTTTTACAGGAAAATTAAATAGAGACAGCCTATAAATTCAAAGTATCTTAAGATAACTACTGTGATTGATCTATATATTCAACACGAGGTGTTGCACAAATGTATGCTTAATCTAATTAAATAAGTACATTGTGTTTATTATTCACCTGTGGTGGCAGGCCTTTCGTCCACAGTACACATTTCGGCATTAGCATAGACATCCTCTTCTTCAGGTTCGTCGGAAACAGTACAAATGAGATACAGAAACATTTTAGGTATTATTTTAGAATCTAAAGTCACAAACTGCATAAGATGGAGTTGAGGATTGATTTGAGACATTTTGTTCAATTATATGCAACAGCAAATACGTTTTGAGAGTTATTTCAATTTTATTTTTCTATAAAATCAGGTGGAACTAAATCTTACCTGCAGACACACCAACAAAGTGATTATTAAAAGTAACTGTCGGACCTTGGGATCCTGTCTTCATCTTGTACATACTGTCACCAGCAGTCTTAAATGGGGCTGTAACTACAAATCTTATGTTTTGTTCCTTAAATGGGGGGTGGTCTGCTGTGTTTGCGTCTCGTAATGTACTTCTGCTTTTGAGGTTTGCAATGGTGGTGTTAGGTTTTGTAAGTTATTGGTGTTACTTTGGAGTCCCACATCCCATTTCCTAAAACTTGACACTGTTTTTATTTTTGCATTATGCAACTGCATTTCTTTGTAACTTTCATCAAAAGTTGCTCAAAACCTAGATTATGGCAGGCCTACTGTTTTTTCCCCCAATAACTGTTCTGCTACCTCAATTTTAAATATCGCTGGTACTGACAAGCAAACTGATACTTAAAAAAAAAAAGACTATCCTGGGGGATAAAAATAAATGGTGTTTGGGGCTTATAAGTTACGAGGTATCAGATCGGTGCACAGACATCCATACTCCCCAATACCTGCTATCGCATTTTAGACAGTACTGGAGGAATTTCCACTAATTTGACATTAGTATTGGAACAACTCTATATATAGCTGGACTGTATATGACAGTGTGTGTTGAGAGGTTTATAAATCAGGTAACATGGATGTTATTTCTATAGTGTCTTTAACTTTTTGACCATCAGTTGATGAAAAGATGTTCAAGTAAGGGGAGTGTGAGGGCCATTCCAAAACCTTCTGCTTGCATCTCTTGATGTAGTCCATGGTGGATTTCAAGGTATGTTTAGGATAAGATTCCTCTTGTAGAATCCATCCTATTTTCTGCTTCAGCTTATCTACAGATAGTGTGATGTTTGCTTCCAAATTTGAATTTTAGTGGAATCCATTCTTCCATCCATCTGTCGCTGAGTGAATGTCTGTGAAAGGGTGAATGTGGCACGTAGTGTAAAAGCGCTTTGAGTGGTCGGAAGACTAGAAAGGCGCTATACAAGTACAGGTCCATTCACCATTTATGTTTGCTAGGCGTTATATGGCGGTTGGAGCGTACCCCAGCATGCCTCGGGTGTATGCATAGTGTACCACTGCTCTATTTTTACAATGCCTTTAGTTCTGCTTTGAAGTTGTGACATTTTTTTTTTTTTTTTTTTTTTACTTTTTGTCTTATCAGCAAATGTTCAACCCATGATTTGTGTCAGCTGCATTATGATACACACATTTCTTTTTATGTCTGGTCTTTATTATTCATACAAATAAAAAGTGATGACATACACTGTAAAAAAGAAAAAGTCGAGAAAACGTAAAATATCAAGGCAACATAATACAAGAGATTTTTGAGTTTTCTCAACTTTTGCCAGCTGTTGTTGACTTAACTAAGGTTTTTAAGTTTTGCCAAGAGTTCTGCCAAATCGGATCTTTTTGTTCACCTTATGAGGATAATACTGTGAGACTAATAAAGAACTTCTTGCTTGAATGCGATGTATTTCTACCTTCACCAAACACAGATTTTTATGTTGAATTAATAAACAATTTTTCCCATCAATGTCATGTATTTCTACCTTCCTTAAACATAGATATTATTGTTGTATAAATATACAATTGTTCCTTCATAGCATATATTTCTTGATTCACCTAACACAAATATTCTTGTTGAATAAACATACATTTTACCTTTATAAATCAAGCTACATTTATGTTGCTATAATTTTATTTTAAAACTGCTCAATAGATAGATAATTAATAATACAGACTACAGCTGAATGTTATCTGAAATTTTTTATTCAGTTTACCAGTGAACACAGGAAAACCATCATAATACAACGTGTAAAAAACAACATGCATACTGCTCTATATTCTAATAACATTTGGGGTGAATCTTCCTCCATGCTGAGTATTTGACATCAACACTAGGCTTACTGAACATGTAAATAATGATTATTCCCAAAGTGTCGGTGTCCTGAGGAAGAAGAACAGATACATTATTAAGAGCTTAGAAAAAGTAAGACAAACTAGAAAGAGCATTTTCTGAAAAAAATGTGCAAGTGCTGAAAAGGTTAATGCTAAAGCTGAAAAGTATCACTTGTAAGCAGAGAGATAATTGGCTTCATAAGGGCTAAAAGAAGTTGAAATGTTAAAAAGGCAGAAGAAAATGGGCAGCTATAAAGTGAAATTCAGCATTCAAACTAATGATTTGCTTAAGAAAGATTTAAAAAAGAAAAACATTCAGACTAAATACATTTCTACTGATTTTGAAATTAAACATTTAGTACCATGCTACTGACTTGCCATTTAACTTGTGGAGGTATTAACCAGAAAAAGTAAATCTCTTTAATCAATGTCGCCCACCAGCCTTGTGATGAAACACCACCCAAAATGACCAACTGTTCCCCTCAGCAGAAAAAAAGGGATCTGAAGTGGAAAACTGCAACCCTCACCCCAAAATGATCTGGACTGATAAACTGCCCTGGGGAGGTGTACTTTTACATTTTGCATTAACTACTCCTTAAAAACATCTTGTGGGAATGAGGAATTAGCTGCATGACCTAAACTATTTGTCTCTCCTGCAGTTACGATTACTTACCAAGCACTTCAGGAAAAACTTGGTTGCATCTTCACGGAGGTAGATGGGCAGGCCTCTCAGTGCTGCTGTTTTCCAGTGGGACACAATGTCGGATGTCTAAAAGTATCCAGTGGAAAACATGAGTATTTAAATTAGTATAGAACTGTAATGTCGTCATTCCTAATAAGAAAGTATATTCATGCTCTTCTAAAACTGCCAGGCAAAGGAGCACTTCACTGACCTGATCATCAAGTTGATCAAGGAGGTCCTCCATCTCCTGACCAATAGCTCCTTTCTTAGACCTGTAGATTTTCAGCAGGCCAGGCCAGAATTTGTCAAGGGATGCATTGAAAGTCCCCAGGAGGTCTTTGCTCGTGATCCGATAATATTCTTCAGATATCTTAACAAGAAAACCAAAAAAATATTATCAATTTTCAAACCATAATGTCAGAATTTCTCTGTACAGGAAGTTCCTGGGTAACTTGTTCTGAGTCTGCACCATGTTAAATATCTGACCATGTTAACAGCAAAACATATTTCAAAAAACTACACTCGACATGCGCAATATCTAGTGAATATGTGGTTTCCTGTGCACCCTTAGGTGCAGGAAAGTATTTAAATTTCGCAGAGGAATGAAAATACCCGCCACAACAACAGTATCAATTTCAGGATGCAAATGTATCATGTTCCATTGTTGCACTGAAATCTGTGACCCATCATATTCTGAGGTGCCTCTACCATCTCACGGCTAGTTCCCCTTCTGCCAGTAAAAGAAAAAAGAAATGTCACCCATAATTATGCAAAAAGTCATTCTCAGCTGTTTTTCCCCTGATGAAAATACTTTTAATCATAATTATGACATTTGAAACTTGCAATTTCAATTAAGCATGGGGAAATGTACTTCCATAGGAGTGAGATGGTTATGGTAAGAATATTGGAACAGGTCACAGAATAAAATGGATCACATATTTAAATGTAACACCGGCAAAAAAGAACATCATCTGTAAACATGGATTTTGAGGGTTGAAAATTCAGTGACAATGCCAAATCCATAACAGTTGCAGAAAGTGATGTACTCCATGGAGGACATCAAAAACACATCCTTACCTGATTAAAAATGTTAATTTTGTCTTCTTGTTGTTATTATTATCATTTATTTCTACTGACATTGTACAGTTTCTCTGTTCTTTAAATGATGTCCGAGATGGTTCCAAAGAGTTTTTTCACTCCAAATCTCTTTAAAAATCACACAGTTCACATTGAAATGTTACATTTTCATGGATTTTCACTGTCGAGTGATATTGAGGTGTGATCTTAATGATCCGAGTGTTTTAAATACACAAACACAGTTGGTGTATGTGCAAGGCCAGTGTGCACCTTGACCGTGGCGAAGGCAAAGATGTTTTAAGAGGGTCGCTTGACTGGAGCTGGTGAATTACAAAGCCGGCACTGCATGGAATCCACCACTGAAACACAAGAGACACAAATAGCATGAAGACAGTTTTTTTAAAAGCACTTTCACAACAGCCTTTGTAATTTGTAAACATAAAGACACAAACGCATTTCACTGAAGCCATGACAACCCCATCCATATTCAATGAATGAATAGACAACGGCTGGGTTTCAATAGTTTGTGAAAGTACCAAGTCATTGTTACAATATTGTGACAATATTAATAAAAGTATTTTGTCAAAAATAGATACTGATATGAAAAATTTTAAAGTTAGTCTGATAATAATCAATGCAATAACACCAAGCTCTACCAGCCTGAAAGCCAACTGCAACAGCCATTATGGGATAAAACAACCAAACATAACACAGAAGGAATCCCTAGTTGCAGGAGCTGAATACATCAACAAGCCAAAAACAGAGACAAGAAAAAAGTCTTTTGGGAATCATCTTTCATTTATGAATCGGTAACTTAATTTTAAAATGTAAATTTGATTTTAAATTATAACTATATGACAAGCAACAAAAATGCAAACATGAATTCAAACGTTTGTTTTTGTTACTATGATAAAAACAGTAACTTTGAAAAAATAATGATCTTTTTGAATCTTTCTCATTCTGTAAAAGGCTCTGAAAATGTAGCCTTACGTCTGACAGAGCATGTAACACAACTTTAATTTGTATGTGACATTTGTACAGTACTTTATGGACACAAGACAGTGTCATGCCAGCAGCCAAACTGTCCAGCATTGTAGATTACTATCAAGTAACACTGCAGCACCGAGGGTTCAGCAAGCTCGTCTCCAGAGAAATAGGCAGCAGGTCTATTTTTGCCGGATGTCGGTGACACAAAGCATCGATTCACGTCGATTAGAGCGCCCCAAACAGGAAACCACACGCACAGAGCATCGGGTAAATTTCAAAATAATAAAGCACAATGATACACTTTACAATCGTAAATCATAACTTTGTCAATATTAGTTTCACCCCGCTGGCACAATTAACAAATTGTCAATCAATCAGGGGGACCTGAAGCTCATAGGACGTTGTGGATGAAAAAATCTTTTCACTCTGATCTAAATGGCGCACCGTGACAACACTTACTGACCGGGAAAAGGCGCAATGGTCCGCTGTGTTTACAGGACTCTCGATA